CCATGAAGGTTAACAGTGGAGCAGATGTCCACCTGCAGCCCGTGGAGAACCCCGCACCAAAGCAGGTTGATGCCTGAAGGAGGCTGTGACTCCATGGGAAGCCCACACTGGAGCAGGCTCCTGGCAAGACTTGTGGACCCGTAGAGAGAGGAGCCCACACTGGAGCACGTTTGCTGGCAGGACCTGTGACCCCACAGGGGATCAAGGCTGGAGCACTCTGCTCCTGAAGGACTGTGCCCTGTGGAAAGGATCTTTGTTGGAACAGTTTGTGAAGAACTGTAGCCCACGGGAGTTCATGGAAGACTGTCTCCTGCGGGAGGGACACCATGCTGGAGCAGATGAAGCATGTGAGGAGTCCTCTGTGCTGCGGAAGAAGGAGCAGCAGATATCACGTGATAAACTGACCACAACCCCTCTTCTCCATCCCTCTGTGTTACTGGTAAGGAGGAGGTAGAGAAAATCAGGAGTGACAGTTGAGTACAGGAAGAAGGGAGCAGTGTGGGGAAGGTGTTGTTAAGATTTGATTTTATTTCTCATTACTCTACTCTGATTTCATTGGTGATAAATTAAACTAATTTCCCCAAGTTGAGTCTGTTTTGCCTGTGACAGTAACTGCTCAGTGATCCCCCCGTCCTTACCTCAACCCACGAGCCTTTCCATTTTATTTCCTCTCCGCTGTCCAGCTGAAGAGGGAAGTGATAGAGTGGCTTTGGTGGGCATGTGGTATCCAGCCAAGGGCAACCCAACACACAAAACGAGAGGGATAAGCTTAAACAAGTTTAGGTTTAGTAACATGTCTTTGCTTTGCAGGGCAGGAGGGACAGATGGTGACCCATGGAGTCACTGGGTGCAGCAGGAAATCTCCAGGGCCCAGTGGCTATTAGCCAGCAGCACCTCTCTGCTTGCCCACTGTGGTTTGGCCGGTGCAGAGCCATCAGCACAGATTCCAACTGTAGTGGTAACACATGCAGTTGGGTCTTCCACTAATGCATTCATTTTGCTACATACTGCAACATAGCAACAGTAAAGTAGAATTGCAATCTACATACACAACAAATAAAAACTAATTCATATAATTCTGCTATGTTCAAGCCATTTCACCTACTGAACATTAAGATTCAGGTCTCTGAGGCAAACTAGGCATGTGAGACAATGTCATGATCAGTAAACGTATCTACCTTAGTGGTTTCAAGATAGATGTTCACATATACTCACTGCTCGTCAGTGAGTAAAAATCTCACTATCATAAAACCTGTAGAGGCCACAGCAACTTTAAATTACAAAATTTTTGCATATTTTAAGATAGTCATAGCAAGTGCAAGAAAGAACTCTTTTCTGTTCCAATACCCTGCCCAAGTAAGCCTGTTTCAAGAAGTGTTTTTTACAAGTTTCTTTAGATATTCTAGTATAAGACAAAAATACCTAGATCTAACTTGACCAATTTTCATTAAAGTTCTTGCCAAACAACAGCATGGTACATCTGTAATTGCCCTTGAAGAAATATAATATTATTTGGTCTGAAATGCTGGCAGGTGCTGTCTTTCCCAAACTGACTCCTGCAATGCAAGCATGGTGACTTTTGGTAGGAAGAGTACAGTGCTATGCTCCTGTTGCTTCAGGATAAAACTCAGGTTTATACTATCAAAATGTGAACACTCGGAAGAAGAAGAAAGGATCTGATATAAGTTTAGGATGAAACATTCTGCAAACATCTTTGGGCTTGGAAATGAGAGATTTAACACGAAAATATTAATGAAGCTGACAACACTACAACAAATGCCTCTAACAGAACCCTGACTAGAAACCTCTGGAAGTGTTTGGAAAGCCCATAGTAAGACTTGTGTAGAGCTCCTGATAATGACACATTATATTATTTTATTAAGCACACAGAAATAAAACAGTCCCTCCTTGAGCATTTCTAGAAACTTCCATCAGAGTTCACAGGTGTCATAATGATGTTAGTGGTAAAACTCACTAGGACTGCAGCTAATTCTCTTCCTCCTCCTTTTAAATAGATGAGAAAGTCATCATATTGTAGTCACACATTAATATTTGGGTACACATTAATAATTGAGTACGTAAAACTACTGAAATTCTTACCTCAGATGATTTTGAGTTTTCATAATATATACCTTGAACTAAGTCACCAATAGCACTAGAAATGAGTTCCACAACCTGTAAAAGAAAAAGAGAAACTGCTTTACATTTCTAGTTAGCACCAAATTTACTAACAAAACTACTGCCAGATTCCCAGAAAGATAAACAGTCCTTTCTTGCAGAAAGCTAGCTGTGAAAGACTGCAGGATTTATTGGGATATATTCTGCACCAGCATGATTCTGTTTCTCTGCTAAAACCTCTACTACAGTAACTCTTCTATCAAAGTTTTAAGTTAATATAAATGAGAAAACCAAGACTTTTTTTTTTTTCTTTCCTAAAGTGTGATTTACAGAGTGTATTCTCACAAGGACATTCACACAACTAGTAAATCCCAGTTCATGAATATGAGACAGTACCTCATCTGGGCTTTGTTTTGTTTTGTTTTTTTTCCTGCCAAGTAAATACTTCACAATACCTCTCAATGGGAGCTGTTAAAATTCTAATCTTCATGGCTAACACAGAAAAGTCAGAATCCATAGAAAGGTAACCTTTCAAATGTGATCATTTGGTATTCGGGTGCCCTGGGAACGCACTGTGGATGTATTTAGTGCATGGCCTCAGGCTCAGCCGTACCACATACGCTAAAGTCTGCAACGTGGGAATGTTTAAATCAGATTTATCAATCTGTATTATCTTCAGGGTTCAGACTTTTTATTTTATTCAAGAGAAGCCTAAAAACCTGAATTTGATCCAGAATGTAAAACAAGCAGTCCACAGTCTCCCTGGAACTACTGTACAATTTAAAGTCATGCACATAAACGGTCTTAATTGGAACAAAATACCCAGATTTATTGTAAAATTAAATGCAGGCATTTCAAATAAGCACACCTAAAGGCTACCCCTTTAGTTGCTCAGAAAGTTTTAATTTCTTGAATGTTTAATTTCCTATGCATATGAGTCTATATCTGATTCCTCTTTTTGCCTCCTAAAATTCAATGTAGTTCTTATTGAATTAAAAGATTTGGTTTCAATTTTTATCATTCCTGTAACTGAAGACAAGCAGTCAAATGATAAAACCCCTAACAGAAAGATATTTTAACATTTAGGCATACTTTATTTGATAATAAAAACACATTTGTATTCTAGTTTTGAGTACTAGCAGAAAGGTTGTGTGTTTTCTTTAAACGCTGGTTCATATACATATTCATATACACTGAGCAAGCACTAACTTTAGAAATGGTGCTGATTAAAAGTCATGTTTTTTCTTGCAATGCATATGGGTTAATTTGCAAGACCTATAAAAACAGCCAAAAAAAAATTTAAAAAAAAATAAAATCACATTGCCCTTTAGGAAACTAGATACCAAAGAAATATTGTAGCAATATGAGCTGCAGAGGAACTGAAAGGACAATGATCCTACAGTGTTACCAGATGTGTTGAGTTATTTAAGCGGGGAACAGAGAAAGTGAGGGGCTTTTTTTTTTTTACCCCTTTCTTTCTTTCTTTCTCTCCCCCCCCCTCCTTTTTTTTTTTTTTTTTTTTTTTTTAAGGTATCAGATAAGCCTTATTCCCAAATCCAGGAGGACTGAGTATCGCCAATAGGTCTATGAAAGTCTGTAACTAAATGCCCAGGATCAGATTGTATTACAGTTTATACAAGCAACATCCCAAGATTCTTCTGATGGCTAGGACACATAATACAGATCAATCACTCGCTAAAAAATGTTATGGTTTGTGAAATGGTCTGAGCTCTGAGACCTACACTGGTAATACGAAGAGGAATTTACAAAGACACCGAGTCCTACTCTAAATGTCAAAGTGATAGTATGAACTTTTAACAATGCAGCTGGCTCTGGATAACTAGACCTTTTCCTCTCTCGCCTGAAACTCTAGACTGTGCAGGGCTCTGTTTCGGGGTTTCTTTTTTCCATCTTTCCTCTCTCTTTTTAAGGCAACTCTGCTCTCAAAGGCAATTTAACTGACTTAAAACAATCTCAGTGAATCATTTGTGAACAACTGTACCTCCCCCTCTTATAGTTTATAAAACATCTTAGGAGAATTACACATCCGCTATGTGGAAGAATCCATATATTGAATGCCATAAGGCCTTTAGTGACCTATTGAACACCCTATGTCAGTGAGAATTTAGTATTAATATTACCTACCTTCTTTCCAAATATCTCCTACTTTCCTTTTTTTTTTTTTTTAAAATAAAATAATATTTTTCTAAGGTAAATGTGAGGCCATACAGATCACCACCAGGAATGAAATTTCAGTTTCAAGAGCACACTGGGATGTTCACATGAGGCTCTGTTACTTCATCAACCTTAATCCAATCTATGAAAAGCATCTGCTGCTTAACATCAGTGGCCTGGGGTCCTGAGCACTGGGGACAGGAATGAGAAATGAGGAAACCAAGTAATTTTCCTCTGCATCCCAAACTGACATAGAGGAAGAAAAATTATTATGGATTCAGTAGTATCACGCAGTCAATGATACACTGACTTGCTCTTATGCAGCACTTTTCATCAGAAAATTGGAAAGCAATCGACATCCCCTCTAAAATTTATTCCCTCCTGTTTTATTTATATCAGGGGAAAACAGTGACAGGGAACTGCCTTCCCCAAAAATCATGCAGCTTGCCAGTGGAAGAGCAGAAAACAGATTCTAAGTCGTCTCTATTCTCACTGGTGCCTTTCTGCCTGACCAGTGCCCTGTTCTACTTGCTAACATTTCTGAGAAGCAAGTTTGAAGAGTAGCAGAGGTAGATGAAAAAAATCAAGTGCTCCCAACTTCTTTTCTTCTCTTCTCATCTGAAGGTTGAGCTCCACTTTAAACAAGTTCAAAGGGAAGAAAGGACTGACAGAATTAGTGCTTGAACACAGCAGCATCTCAAAAGAGACCAAAGTCAGCCTATTCATAACCTCTCACCCCACTGTTTTTCCACTCCTCTACACATTTTTGAGAAGCCTGGTCCCTTCTTAGGTACTCAAGATGAGCAGGAGTGACGTCATATTGAGAGAAAACAAACTTCCACTCTAGTTTTCATTTTCCACTCTGCACCAGCATCTTCCAAAGCGTTGTGTTTTCTGCTCCCCTGGAGCATCCGCAGGGCTCAGGGCAGCCCAGAGGATGACCTGTTACTTGCAGGTGACATGTGCACATGCAAATGATTTCACACACTTTAAACACATGTTCTGCGACAGTTCTGCCAGTGGTTATTTTGTTTGGTTGGTTTGTTTTTTTCCTAAAGCAGTATTATTTCAACACCTTTTATAGAGATATGATCTCTTCTGCTTTTAAAAGGTCAACACAGAGGTCATCAGTTTAGGGTGAACACAGGGAAAGACGGATTGTTAAAGCCAAAATCTCTCCTACTATCTAGGCAGACTCAGCGTATAGTGATGCAGATACTGGACACATGTACGTGACAGCTGATTACACAGCAAGATAGAACTCTTGCTCTGACCTCTTTGGTTTATGCAAATACAAAGTAGTCCAGAAGACTCTGCTGTGTTGCAACGGCAGAACAGTTCTTCTGTAGGTTTGAAGATTCGAAGATTGGTGAAACTTGATTAGCCCTTTTCTGGTATAGTAACTTATTTGTCAGAAATGCACAGCTTTAGCCCTTCAAAGCTCTTTAAATTGACTTTTGAGTCTCATTTCCCAAGCTCAGATTTTCTAAATATTGACGGAAGACATAAAATGGTGGCAATTTTCTTAGTTATTCAAAAAATTACTTGGGATGTTCACCTAACCAAACATTGAATTTCCTCCCTCCTTTTCCTGAAACCAGATTAAATCTTTCAGGTAGTTTACTGAGGATCCATCTTTAAGGCAATTCAGGGTTCAGAATTCTTAAGGCATTCTGCATACGTGATGATACAGAATAAGGGCCATGTGTTCCCTGTCAAGGGCACAGTAGCCTGTTCTTGCCAGCAGCTGACCACTCCAGGAAATCCAGCTCTGTCTATAAAAAAAAAAAGAGGTGTATTTTAATTAAAGTTAATCTCCAAAGCTAGAAGGACTGCATGGAAATCATAGACCTCAGATGAAAAGAAGACACTGCTGCCATAAGTTTAGCAACTCAAGCACTTTGTCCCCTTCATTTGTCTTTGAAATATTTTGTTTAAAGTTCACTACATCGTAACACTGCATAGGTATTTTTTCCTGTTTCTCATTCTAGTTTTAAAAAAAGAATGAATCTGAGCTGCACTGCATGTGGGGTGGTTTCGTAGGAAATTCAGCATCTGAAATGGAATTACACAGACCACTATTTCAAAGTAGTAATACAGTGCCTCTCCAGACTCCACCAGGTATTTTCAAGGGGAACATAAAGGAAGGATGAAGCTCTTGTGGGAAGACAGGAAACAGCACTAGGAAGAACACAGGAATGGATTTATCTATATTCCTCAGCCTTTCCAATTTCTATTTGACAAACTTCCTTAGCTTTGCCAAATTCCTTTCAAGAAGAACCATAAGTAATCCCTTCCTTTCTTAGCCTTGAAACAATATCCTTTCCTCACACATCTGCTGTGACAGACCCTATTTCTTGCCGCTGATGTGTAGACTTAAAAACACAGCAAGACTTCTCCACACAAGTGAAGGAGAAAATGACATAGTCGGGCAATATTAAATATACAGATAAAAGTTTCTGCAATTGACTTCCCTCCCCAAACAAGTTTTAATTTTTGGAAATATTTCTACACTTAAAAATTCCACGGCAGGTTCTTAAAATTAAATATTCTCCTGCATTTGATAAAGAAGCATTGCAACACTAGGAAGCTGAAGACAAAACCCAGTAAACAGCTGAAATTGGATTTTGATTGTTCAATAATACCTAAATAAAAAGAGCAAAAACTCTTGAGGAGTTCCAAGAATAGTGGAATTCAATTTTCTTTCCTGGTAATCTCCTCAAACATCATTAGTCATACAGGTAACTAAGTGTGCCAGCCTATAGTTTTTTTTTAATGTAACGTTTATTGAATCCTATTGGATTTACTATTTGAAATCATCTTGAGCTTTACTGTTTCTTGAAGCTGTCCCTCTCCCAGCTGAATTACACCAAAAGGACTCC